GTGGCTTGGCATATAAATGGTGTCCTTGCATCTTTCCTTGAGCCAGGGACAGCACGGGGAGGAGCAGCTGCTTCTTCCAGCAGTGTTCAGAGGTCTGTTGCAGCTGGAACAGCACAGTATCTGCTGCTTGCTCTAATTTGGCCATGTGTGAGTTGGAGTTAGGCTTGTTTGTGTTGGAGTCTTAAACCTGGGACCAGTTCACTTCTCTCAAGTCAGCTTAGAAGCTTGTGGAACATCCACTCTTGGGGGTCACGCTTTGGTTTTCCCATGGCCACAAGGCAGGCTGATGGAGCTGGTTTTGGCAGGTTGTACATCCCAAAGAAGCAGTGGGACTGCTGCTCTTTGTGCTTGGCAATCCAGGAATCAGGTGTTTGCTTATCTTTCACTGACAACCTTATGGAAAAAGCAGCAGCTTGGAGTGATAAAGGGACTGTGCCATAATCTGATTGTTCTTTGCCTTCTCTTTTCAGGGAATGGCATCATTTCCTGGTTACCAACATGAAAGGCAACAATGTGGGCAGTGGGACCGTGATGTCGGATTATGTTGGCTCCGGGCCTCCCAAGGGAACAGGTTGGTACCTGCCTGCAGCAGTTCCCAAGCAGTGCTACACGGATCGAACATGGTGCACAAGGGTGGGGGGAAGCCAGCAGGAAACGATCCGTGCAGGATGGCCCGTGGCTGCGCAAAGCCACAGCCAGCACAAGCACGTACTGAGCATATCTAGTGCATCTTCTCTAAGCTGCCTTAAGCTCCATCATCCTCAGCCTTCCGACCCTGGAGCACGCGGGCACCTCCAGGGGTCACTTCAGAGCACACCTCAGACCTGGCGTTGCGTGTGCCCGGTGTGGTAACGCTGTCCCTCCCCGCAGGGCTGCACCGTTACGTGTGGCTGGTGTACGAGCAGCCCAAGCAGCTCGCCTGCAACGAGCCCGTCCTGTCCAACCGCTCCGGGGACAAGCGAGGCAAGTTCAAGGTGGCCGCTTTCCGCAGCAAGTACGGGCTGGGGGCGCCGGTGGCGGGCACCTGCTACCAGGCGGAGTGGGACGACTACGTGCCCAAGCTCTACGAGCAGCTGTCGGGGAAGTAGGGTGTGCAGCACCCGCGGCTCGGGCACGGCGCTGTAGTTTTGTTTGATTAGCGAGTTGAACCCAAGCGTCCTGAGCTGGAACGCCGTCACTGTCCCTGCTCTGTGTCCGCGTGTCTGGGCCTGTGCTGATTCCCGTGGCACAGGTGATCCTAGCTAGAGCTGTTGACAGCTGTCAGCCACTCCCTCCAAACTGACCTGCTTAAGGGAAACAAATGCCTTTGTGAATTAGTGTCAATTCAGGGTGTCTCTGCTGTCCTGGGATAGCTTTAGATGTCAGGGGTGTGGGTGCAGAACCACTTCTGGGCTAGTGCTGGCTGTGGAGACTCCCTCTTCCAGGAGAGGAGAGGGCAGTGTAAGGGAGACTTTCCCTCCTCCCTCTTTTTTTTGTTTTTTTTTCCCCCTCAATCTTTGGCCAGTGCCTCCACATCACTGCTCCAGTAGTGAAGGTGCAGCTCGAGGGGGAGGCAGGAGCTGGTCTACAGCACTTCTTCTGTTCTCTGCTGTCACTCAAAACTGAGACCACTTTTCTTTTGTTCAGTCCTGTGGTGACCTGATGTTACCGTGCTCTTTGCTCACAGTGCAATTAAAACCTTAACAAGGTGTGTGGTGTGCTTGGTTGTCTTCTTGGGGGATGAGGGAAGCACTCAGGGGAGCAGCTGGATGGTCAGGAGCAGGGCTGGACCCTGTGCCAGGGGCTCTCCACTCCTGGAACGTGCTGATGGCTGGAGTGACACAGTTCAAAGCAGTCACATCTTTCCATCTTTACCTGCCTTTAATCCCTGTCCCAAGGATCCCCTGGCTCTGTGGAGGCCCCTTCCCTCTGCAGGACCTCCCGATCTGAACCCTGACAGCAGTTTGGCTGTGACCAGCTTTACTGACCTGAAGCCACTTCCCAGCCAAGCTGCAGGTCCCAGGTGTTTCCTGCTCCTCCAGCAGCTTTGCACTGAGGACTGGGGGTGTGTCCTGAGTGCTCAGAGCAGAAATGAGCCTTTGGTCCAGCTATAAAACATAGAAAAGGTGAAGCCACTGCCATTCAACTTTATGGATCCAGGAGCCTCCCCGCTTTTTCAAGCTGCTGTTTTTAAGGTCTGCACTGACATGGTCTGACAAACAGGAATCAGTGTCCCTGGGAAAACTGGGGACTCTCTAACTCCAGAAGGTGGGTGGTGTCTGCCCCAGGGCAGTTTTTCAGCTCAGCCATTAAAACATTTCAGCAGGACTGATGGTTTTTCAGGAAAACGTCCCCAGCTACTCCAGACTAAGGCCCACAGGACTAAGGCTGGAGCAGTGCTCACACCGGCTGATCCATCCCGGCACTGCTCATGCTGGAAGCAGGACATAAACAAGCCACAATGCATTACCCAAATAACTTCCACTGTCAGGAAAACGAGTTTGGAATGGAGCCCTGAGGTTCATGCAGCCCCAGGCTGAGGGACACCTGTGGAATGGGACACCTGTGGAATGGGACACCTCCCCATCCCCACCCTGCACCTGTGCTGGGCCACGAGCCGCCCCTCCCACAATGACACAGCCAGGCATTGTGATGAACACTTTTATTTACAAATATAATTAAAAGCTCTGACAGTTATTCATGCTCTTCCCTGGAACCTGAAAAATGTTTTTGTTGTTTTGTTGGTTTTTTTGTCCTTTTTTTTTTTGTAGTTGTTTTTTTTTT